AGTGGTAATAATAGTAGGTTTCGTCGAAGAAAAAAATTCTTTTTAAGAAGCGAAGCGCTGTCTGAGTTCGGAATCACCACCTTTTCAAGTGAGTGCACAGTTACTTTCAACTTACACATACATATGAAGTATTTTATATAAATTACGTGCTATGTGTGCATATTATCTGAATACTTGCTATCTAGGCTAGATGAACGTTTTTATACATGTTTTCAATGATTTAAACTGTATATGCATTTTATATCTACGAAAATGTTGGGGTAAAACATGGGTAGATGTAATAGGTAATGTGTGATAAAATGATGAGAGGCCTCGATGTTGTTGTTGTTGATCCAGTCATCTAGCGGAGTATAGATGACGACCACGGACTCTTCTAGACAGTCCAGTGGAACACTAGCAGGCTCGCAACCTGTAGGTGTTGTGAACGATGTGTTCACCGGTGTACTCCATCCCCCACATGGTTGCCTATTAAGACATTTATCGCTGAGGAATCCCCTTAGCAGTAGTGTCCGTCCCGATGATGATCCTTAGGCTAGGTCCCTTATGATAGGTGTTTAGGGACGTAAAGTGAGGATAACGGGAACGGGTAATCGGGTTATTGTTGATTGATGAAATTAATAAACTTATTTATTGTGGGTTGAAAGCCCTATGTGCTCACCAGGCTCCCAAGCCTGACCCACTCAGTTTTATGTATTACAGGTAGTGGCGCATGAGCATAGGTGTGATGTTTTGGACGAGGGATTACGGATATAGGCCTGTAGATATGAAATAATGTAGTAAGGCTTATATTGTACTGTTTATACTTTTGATCTGTACGAACATGACATCCCGAGTCTTTTAATGAAATACATTTCTATGGAAATGCTTTTGATAAATCTTTATCATATTATTGTTTTGTGACAAATTCCGCAACCCTTTTATTAAAAGATAACTCTGATTTTGAAATAAAGTATAAACAAAACCGGTTTTTTCTGGCCGTGATTTTGGGGATGTCACAAGAGGTGCTTGACCTACAGGATGGTCAAGGCCAAGCATCAGAGGCCGCATGACAAGATGTAGCCTCTAGAGATTCCCATGTGGAAATGGGAACAGATCATGATGGACTTCATTACCAAATTGTCGAGGATGATGAAGGGATTTGATGTTATATGGGTCATCGTGGATCGATTGACAAAGAGTGCCTATTTCTTGCCCATTCGGGGGAGCTCATCGGTCGAGAAGCTGGCCAAAGTGTATATCTGCAAGATCGTTGCTCGCTATGTGGTTCCAGTCTCTATCGTTTCAGACCGTGATGTTCGGTTCACCTCCCAATTCTAGAAGAAGTTCCACGAGAAGTTGGGCACGCGACTGCATTTTAGTACAACTTATCATCCGCAGATAGACGGCCAGAGTGAGCGGACGATACAGACCTTCGAGGATATGTTGAGGGCTTGCATCATTAACTTCGGTGGGAGCTGGGATTCCCACCTACCCATTGTAGAGTTTGCCTACAACAACAACTATCATGTCAGCATTGGTGCTCCAGCGTTCGAGCTGTTGTATGGGCAGAGATGTCGTACCCCGGTCTATTGGGGCGAGGCTGGCCACAAGGTGATAGGTTGGACCATGTTGGTCCTGCAGACTCTAGAGAAGATTCAGCAGATCAGGAAGCGATTGCAGACTGCTTAGAGTCGGCAAAAGAGTTATGCCAACTGGTGCCGATCTGATTCGGAGTTCTAGGTCGGTGACATGGTACTAGTGAAGGTCTCACCCTGGAAGGGAGTGATTCGCTTCAGAAAGAGGGGGTACATTGGACCCTTTACGGTTATTGCCAGGGTTGGAAAGGTGGTAGATAGACTGGATATTCCAGAGGAGCTCAGTCAGATTCACAGCACTTTTCACGCTTCCCAGTTATGGAAATGCATACTAGGTGAGGAGGCAGTGGTGTCATTAGATGATATTCAGGTCAATGAGCGCTTGAATTACGTGGAGAAGCTTATGGCAGTTCTGGAGAGGAAAGTGAAGGTTCTACGAAACAAGGAGGCACCTTTAGTAAAGGTATAATGGGAGCACAGGAGGGGATATGAGTGGACTTGGGAGTCGGATGCAGAGATGCAAGAGCATTACCCAGATTTGTTTGCGGTAGCGGACTCGAGGACGAAGTCGAGCTCAAGTGGGGGAGAATTCTAACATCCAAACTCCCATGTATTCAATTGAAACTTTTATATTCATAATTCTTGACCTACTCGATGAGTTGGTTGCCCCAACCCATCGTGTAGAACCCACGTGGATTCTAGAACCTACTCGACGAGTAGAGAATGTACATGAAAACCCTAATTTTTAGGGTTTGCACCTTATTTAAAGGACCTTAAGTCTTCCTTCCAGCCTTCTTACCAACTTTTCATCGTCCTCTTACCAGAGAAAACCCTAATCTCCCCATTGTGTGAGTGTGTGAGCGTGGAAGTCATTTTGGATGCTCTATTGAAAGGGCACTTGACGGTTGAGGAGCTTGGATCAAGAAGAAGGTCGTAGATCCGTTATCTATTTTGTATTGGCAACGAATATGAGTTATAAAGATAATACGTTGACTTCTCATTCCTTAGATCTTCCTTTGTGAAAGAAATGGTCATTTCTAGTGCAAAATGGAATCACCTTTGGGGTTGAGCTTGTCAAAAGGACATGGTTTCAGATCTGGACTCCTCTAGGCCCTCTTGGACATAAAGCCTCAAGCTTTATGAAGCTTTGGCCCTTCTACATGCCCTAAACTCCTTCTTAGACTTAGTTTTGGTGTTTTAAGCCTATTGCGACCTTGCATGCACGTAAAGTTAGCAACTTTACAAGGTAACTTCATCCTAGAAAGCCAGATCTACAGTTTGGAGCTATGAACTCAACTGGAATGAGCTGAATGTGAAATGATGAAGGAACTCGACGAGTTGCATAGTCAAATCGATGAGTTGGATGAGCGTTTCCCGCTTTCTGGATTCAACATGAACTCGATGAGATAGCAAGATGACTCGACGAGTTGGTTAGGTTTTTTGCCCATATTCTGGATGCTGCATAGACTCGACGATTTTCTTGGTAACTCAGCGAGTTGACGGGGGTTTTCGCAACTTTCTGGGTTCTGAAGGAACTCGACGAGTCTGTAAGCTGCACTCGACAAGGTAGGTCAACATGGACTGCTGACCTTGATCGATTGACTTTGACTTTGACCAAGGGTTGACCAGTTTGACTTCTGGGGGTATTTTGGTAATTTGGGAATTTATGGAATTGGATCAATAGTGGTTGTAGGTGTTGGTGTTTGGAGCCGTGTTTCAGGAGTTTCATATTTCAGTTCTGATTGACATTGTGAGGTGAGTTATGCTCACTTTACTAACAGGGTCGAAGGCACTAATGTCTGCCCTTTTTGGATTGTCATCCTAGTTATTGCATGATGATATGCTTAGTGACATGTTAGGTTGATATCCTGGTATATATGGGATGATGATATGTTAGTGACCTGTTAGGTCGGTATCCTGGTATATAGGATGATGATATGTTAGCGACCTATTAGGTCGGTATCTTGGTATATAAGATGTTGTTATGATTAGTGATCTGTTAGATCGGTTTGACTGTTTGTACACGCTAGCTAGCTTATGATATTATGTGTTGCTTGTGTATGTGGGGTTGGGTTGATGTAGACTTGCTTTGTGCTGAAGGCCAACAAACCCAGGGTGGACCAGATAGACTGCAGACCCATTAGGGCATATCAGTTAGGCCGAAGGCCCGAAGAACGTTCCAAACAGGCTGAAAGCTCGGGTGGGCGGACCAGACATGCTGAAAGTTCTGAAAGTGGGCCATTTAGACTGCATGCCCGGTAAGGGCAATCCAGTCATACTGTAGACTATATATGCATGCTGTTTATTTGGTATGATATGGTTATGAATTGTATGGATTTGGTATTTTAGGGTAACTCACTATGATTCGAGTGTACATTTTTGGATTTTGTTTCAGGTACTTCGGATGATCGCGGGAAGACAAATGATTGATCGTGCACCTCCTCGCATTTTATGATTTTGATTTCTAGGATACTCTGATATGAAATTATTTTGAAAAATTTTTGTAATTAAATGGTGTATTTAAATGGTTGAAAAAGTTTTAAATTTTCATGAAAATTTTTATGGATGTTATATTGATCTTTAAGATGTTAATGAATACCTGAACAATTTGTAATCCACCCCATACTTATGATAATTTGGTGAAATAGGATGAGAAATCATCACATCTTTGTGATAACGAGTAAAGTTGTTGAATTTGTTAGATCAAAGATCCATCAGATTTCTCATTATATTGATCGAGTTCTTTCCAAATTTCATGTGTAGTTTAGAGAAAGTGGACACTATTAACAATACATTTACTAAGAGAATTCAGAATTCAACTGATAACCATTGATTGAAAATGATACCATTTTGGATATGATGAAAAAACTATAAAAGGCTAAACAAATTGTGTCATCACTAAATTCAAATTTGTTTTAGGCCGATTTGGTAGTTGTCTTCGATCTCTTCTATACAGTAAAGCTAATGTGATTGAATACATTATAAATAAAAATAGAGCAACTTGATTATCACAGGATCCAAAAAAAAAAAGGTCTTGAAGCTTTGATGATATTATAATCATTTAAATCAACTTCGTCCGATTCATATATTTGTGAGAAAGAAGAAGATGTTGAAATTAATGTAAGAAAGAAGATGAATAAGTACCGATCTGCTACCATGTTGTGATTATTTTTTAGAGAATTGGACAACATTAATGATCCAACAACCCAACGATTAACTAATTAAAAATAAAATAGAAGGTAAATCACTAAAATACCCATGATTAGAAAGTAATGCTAACATGATGAGCTTTCTAGACACCGGAAATGCGAAAATGTTGAGTTGTCCACACAATATTTCAAAAAAATCTAAAATATAAAACTTAAAATGTATTTGTAGTAATGTTAACAAACTAATATTTTTTTTTTTTGTATTAACTTACATGCTCTATATAGGACGTAATTCAATGCCTTCAAGAATATACTTGAAGATTCTGGGGTCTCTTGGAGCCATGAACTCAATCCTCAAATTGTGTTTTTTATTTTTGTTTCTAGAGGTGTATAGTTGGACCATTAGCCATCCGTCTTCTCTAACACTGGGATCACAAGAATTTTGATACTCATTCCACTCATCCAATTTATACCTGAAGGGTACATATGCCCAACAAGTTGCGTATTCCCAATAATATGCCTTTTCTGGATCTTTTGTACCCATAATGTTAAAGACAAGGTTCACGGTGTATGCAGTATCTGGTGACAAGAATTTGGTACTAACATTTACTTCAAAACAAGGTTCTAGTGTGCACACAACGACATTTGAAAACCTACGCACATAACAATCACAATGTATTAAATAGCACATTAATTTCACTCATCCATCTATCAGTCATTAAAAATATATGTGAAACATAGAAAAAAAAATATATGAATTTGAGTAGAATCAGATTTATAATTAAAATAACAAATTAATTTCACTCATCCATCCAATAATCATTAAAAAATATGTGAAACAAAAAATATGAATTTTCATTGAACTCACATTTAATTAAAATAACACAATAATTTCACTTATGCATCCATTAGTCATTAAAAAAATAGAAATCAAATATCCTCATATTTATATGTCTACTCATTATATCAAAATAAATGTTAAAACTAAGAGAATATTATGAAAAGAAATTAGTGGAATTCACATATCATTGTTTTTTAATATGAGTAGAATGATAAATATCAACAAAAAGTAATAACAGAGAAAAAAAGAAAAAAAGAATTTGAATAGAAATCACATTTCATTAAAATATCTCATTAATTCCACCCGTCTTCCTACGTAAATGAAGAAACGTTACATTAATTGACAGGTGGGAAAATGAGTCGTGATTAAATATATATAGTTATATACCCCACTATCACTATCCAATAATTTTTTTTTTTATCAACATAAGTCACTAACCTTGATTTGCTAGCGTTGACACATTCCGATACATTTCCATGAAAACATTGTGTAGCGGATATCATTTCATGAATTTGTTTGCTTTTATTGATCGAAATCCACTGTCAGATAAACATATTTAGTTTGGCCAAATAGAAACGTGTTAATAGTAGTAGCGAACATAATTCGGTTTTTTTATTGTTTGATTGTAACCAAGTTACAAAAAATATAAGCATTTTAACATAACAAACTTTAATACTTGTTTTTATATAGTCGGTAATCATTAATCTATCTAGTAATACCGACTAAATTAATATCGACTAAAAGTCGAACTTTTCTTACAAAAGGTATTGATTAAATTAAGAAGAAAAACTAAAACTTGACTACCGGAAATCAAATGAGAATCTTTTTTAAGATCTATTATTTGAAAAGCGTAGGATATAGCTAAAATCTCTAAATAAGAAAATTAAAATTAAAATTATTTAAAATAGTATTCCGTAGAAGAGCTAGTTAATTACCCTTTTGCCCTCATCAACAAGAACCCCTTTTGGGAGAAGGGTGTTATCTTGGGGAGATGCTATAAGATTAGCAATCTTTACTAAATCTGCATTGCCACGGCCATCACCACTACTACTGCCGCTACTACCGTCGCCACTACCACCACTGTTCTGTAAATATCACAATGAAAAAATAAACAATGAAAAATAAGATGTGATAACGGAACTTTATAGTGACCATATAGATCGGCTTACCTGTTGTTGTGAAAGTGCAAACTCGAGTTCCTTCACGATCTCATCCATAAGTGGTCGATCCTTACGTGACCCTCTATTTAAACATCGATATGCAACAGCTGAAAACGTTATCACAGAATCCCAAACCATTTGCTCCTTAAGAGCTTGAAAGATAATCTCATCTAGTTTCTTTTCTTCGCAACACTCTTTCCATTTCTGCACTAAAACACCAACTAGTTGACCTTTACTATATTCACAACATAATCTTCCACGGGAAAATGACTTAAAAACCCAACGAAGTTTTCGAACCATTAAAAAAATGTCAATCAAGTTTTGTTTGTTCAAAAAAACCCAACGAACTTAACATTTTATCTAAAAAGACCAACAAAGTTCCAAACCGTTCAGAAAATCCTAATTTTGTTTTGTTTAAGTTCATTAAGTTTTTTTTTAACAGTCAAAACATGATTGCAGTTTTTTAAACGTTTTGGAAACTTTGTTGGTCTAAAAAGTCATTTTTCCGATACGGTAATAAGCGACGTCATATATTTCTCTTATTTTACTTTCAGGAAAGTGTAACTTAGTTGGGCTTTTTAGATAAAATGTTAAGTTTGTTGGGTTTTTTGAATAGACAAAACATAATTGGAGTTTTTTGATTGATTTGAAAACTTAATTGGGCTTTTAAGTCATTTTCCCAATCTTCCACACATTACTTCAAACAATACCACTCCAAAGGAATACATGTCACACTTTTTAGATAGGATGCCCGACTCCGAATATAATGGATCGCAATATCCAAGTGTACCTACAGGATTGGTGACCATAAATGTTCGTGGTTGGTTTGCTGGGCTCGCTTTTGACAAACCAAAATCCGAAACTTTAGCAATCCAGTTGTTATCCAGAAAGATGTTTGAGCTTTTCATGTCTCGATGGATAACTCTTTGTTGAGTATCCATGGGATCATGAAGATAGGTCAGCGCACGTGCAGCCCCAATGCATATATGAAGGCGTTGGTTCCATGTAAGAGTAGCATCACTTAGATAGCGATCTAGGCTTCCACGAGGGGCGAACTTGTAAACCAAAACTCTCTCATCACCCTCAATGGAAAAGTGGAAGAGAGAGACCAGATTTTCATGTCTGTATCTGGAAAGCATCATGATCTCCTTCCAAAACTCGGTGTTTCCTTGCCCATGTCTACGATCTAACCGCTTAAAAGCTACCATGGTTGGTCCGTTGGGAAGGGAGAGTTCTCCTTTGTACACCGGACCAAAGCCACCACCTCCGATAAGTTTGTCTTTATGGAAGTTGTTAGTGGCTGAAATTATGTCTTTCATTTGAATTTTGAGGTGATCAAACTCATCCCAGATCGACGACATTATATGAGATATAGTTAGTGAGACATGAAGCAATCGTAAGTGAATAGCCTGAACCAACCTTCAAAGCTAGAGATGTTCTAAATGGGGATCACAGACTACATCTCTTAAATTTTGGGCAATTAGTCTCCATGTTTGTATCTGACTTTTCTTATAAATAATTATATATGGAAGGATGAATGGCTGATGTCTCAATTTATTTTATTTCGACTAATCTTGGTTGACATTGTTTTGCATTTGTTGATTTGTTTAGTTTATTTTATTTTTGTAGTGTTAGTTGGTATAATGTGTAAGCATGATTGACATTTTCTAATGTCCCCGAATACTTTTCAATTTTAATTAATTTTTCCACCGATGTGACGGTGTATTGTACAACAAGGCGTGATTGACATTGTTATTCCAACCTCCTTTCGATCTTATATTTGTTTGGCGATCCATGGTGTAATAATGTGCAAATTAAGTAAGCTTTGGTGACACTCTTTTTTCGTTTTTTTATATTTGAACAACACTAGCAAGTGGCCAGAAGAAGAACAAAATTACACATAAATATTCAAGATGAGGTTTTATAAACAAGAAAACTCAACAGATTAATAAAATTTCTTTTATTTATTAGAACAAACCAATTACAAATTAAAAAATAAACGAGAATTTGTTCGAACATCCTAAAAAACAAGAGCATTACGAATGATCGACACCACACAAAGAAAGGTCATAATCATTGCATCGAGCAAGTCTTTCTCATTGCCGATAGATGTTGAGTGTCAACCCACGAGAAGGGGTCTATGGTATGAATGAAAATCAGACCATGCAAGACAAGGCAGTGACCAACTTAATTTGGTCCATAGAGTGCTTGCCACATCACATTCCAAAAAGGTATGATAAACCTCTTCGGTTTTACTTCCACATCTTATACACAACACCATTTTCAACTTGTAACATCATGTTTTGAAATAATTGTATACGTTTTGTATGATATTATAGATAATGTAGTTCGTAAAACTTATGTAATGTGTTAGGAACTTAATTTGAAAAGGAAGGGTATTTTAAACATTTTCACATAGATGCAAAGCCTCATGTAATTAGAGATGTAGAGTATGATATAAGTATTGACGTGGTTTTAAAAAGGAAGTGAAATGAATGCGGAGTTGCAAGTATGGTTGTAAAATTTAAGATGGGTAAAATAGGAAATAACTAGTTGGGAACCCGCAACAAGAACACGGCACGTCAGGGTGTGGGGCGTGACGTGCCGAGTAGAGGATCAAGTTACGTAAAATGAATAGTGACGGCAATGTACTTTTGAAAAATGTCATCTATTGGATTTTGTTAAAAACTGATTTTGTATCTTCTTCGTGGAATGGTCAATAGTTGCAGAATTGAAAGTCTGTGTTTTTATTATTTTCCTTTTTTTTTCTATTGGATTTTTGTTTCCTTTCCGTTCATTGGTTCAATTATTTTTAAGATGACGAAATTTTCCTATGCCCAAATCATGCTTATGGTATGGTTTGGCGTATTTTGTTTTGGATTGATTATCGTAATAAATATGAAAATCTTAATATTGTCTTGACCGGGATTGCCATAGTTTATAGGCTTTAAATTTTTGGTTCTTCCAGTATTATTTTCAAAATTAATCCCGAGAAAACCCACTTAATTCTGAATACTTCTTGTCATAATGCTGGGTGGAAGAGAAAACATTTTTTTGTCTGTAGGTAGTCTCTTGAGAACAACTATTCTTTGCATTTTGATTAGGTTATTGACCGTATGAATCTTCACTAATAGAATATAGGCCTTTAGTGGAACGTGAATCATGACACGTAGTGATTTACAATACCTAAAAGTGTGTCCTAAAAATAATGTCATCTCTTCTAAAAATTGAAGAATTTGGGATACGTATTTTTGTGGGCCCTTAAAATTAGTGTCAGAACAAAAACAAAAAAAAAATAATAATAATAATAAAAAAACACGGAGGGCACTCAGCATAAAAAGTGTGTCGTCTAAGCAAGTCGTTTTTTAAGTTTTCGCGTTCTCCATCTTTATTCCTAAGGGGGGAAATCAAACCAAAAAAATTAAAACGCTCGCCTTATTCTCATCTTCTACGAGCCGAAAATCTCTTCTCTTTTCCAAGACCTAATTAATGAAGCTCTGCAAATTTCATGGCCGTTTTGATATCTATATATACGCTTTGAATCAGATCTAACCATACCTTTGCCCAAAATTCTTCAGATATGGACCATCTTCATCTTTCATCTACGCATATGGCCCGCAAGGTTTGTCATCGTCTTCGTCTGGGAGTTGTTCAATTGTTCAGCAGGGCCACACGGCTTCCCAGAATAAGTCGTTGGATCGGGCTTGGCTTAAGCGGTAATTGCCAGTTAGGAATTGGATGATTTCCGTTGATGAGAAAGAATAGTAGGCTTTGCCGACCGGGATTTCCGGGCAGATGTGGATAGCTTGGTTTTGCTTGGTCAGCCCTATTCTACTGCCTGTCAAATTTTGCTTTCCTTTTCCTATTTCCATGGAATCAACAAAGGCTTTCATCTCAATTAAACTTCTTAATGAGAACACGTATTGTTCTAGTGATAGTCTTCCATCTCCAAATGACCTACAAATCTGCAACCAAAAACATTAAAACATCAAAACATGACGTGAAAATCATTAGTAGATATTTTAAAGATATTGCTATCACATTATCTCTTCGCAGACTTCTGCAAAAACTGCATCTGGTCTCTTATCTCTCGATTATCTATGTGTTCATGTTGATCTTCTCCAAAATTCAATCAGTTAAACAACGAATCACTTCATCTTCTTAAATCTTGGTTTTCGTTCATTAATGATCCCGTGTATTTGTTATTATATTCAGCCGATTTTAGGATTTGGGGCACACTTACTTCGCTTAGTAATTCCATTTACGATTTATTGTAGTATGTGTTTTGTCTTAGTTATTCTTGTTGTCCAATTTTGGGTTATTCTAATTTGCTGGATATCTGAGCAATAACATTTTTTTTTATATTTTACAGAGTTAGATTGTTTGTTTGTTTTGTTGAGTCCCTGAGTAGATGTCTTTTTCCTTCTTTTAGATCTTTCTTCTGTAAATTATGTATTCCTATTAATAAATGGTAGGGGTGGTAAACCGGGTAATCGTGTCATGTTTTTGTCTGACACGACACGGCACGACAAGAAAAGGTTTTATGTAACACGAATACGATACGACATGATGTCGTGTTTTTTTTAACTAACACGAAAATGAACCGATTAAAAAACGACAAACATGACACGACACGACAAAGATAACATAATAAAAAAATTAGTTTATTTAATTAACATTTAATTATACATAACACGAAAAACACGACAAATAAATGTTAAACGTGTCAATTTCGTGTTGAATTTTAAACACGAACACGACACGACACGACAACGTGTTTTTTACACTTAACACGAACACGAATTCAAATTTCAGTTTCGTCCCAATTTCATTTCGTTTCGTGTATTTTTGTCGTGCCATATCAACAATTGTCACCCCTAATAAATTGTATACTTCTGAGCTTGGAATTTAATTATAACACTACTAAGATTTGTCAGCATTGCTCAATAATGCTCTTTTTTATGTAAATGTATAGCTAAAATGTTATAATTACCTTATTTGAAATTGAAACAAAACAATTGGTTATCAACTTTAAGGTTAACATTTCCGGAAGTCATGCTTCACATATAAACTTGTTTTTACTAGAAAAAGATATACATGTAGTTGTTGTTGGTTTTATATGATTCCATATATTAGCCATGTTTTATTACTATTCGTAACTATATAATAACATATATATGATTCAATATCCTTTAATAGTTTTGATATTGGGTTCATTACGTAGGGCCCTAAGTTTATAATCACCAACTCTTAAACATTGTGCTCTCTTGTTGCATCAATTCAGAGGTGTTTTGGCTTGTGGTGACTTCATGAGGTAAATGACCAAAAACACCTTTACAATCACATGGCAAGCCTTCCAAATTTTTTTTACAAAAAGTGTTTGTAATAATGTAGGTTGTAAACCTTGTTGGCACCTGTTCCTGTACTTGGAAAATTCTCAGTCTTTTCTAGTGCTCCCTAAAGATAGATTTGTTAGTAATGGTGTGATTCAGTATAATCAAATGCAAATAAAAGCAAAATTTCTGATGGTTTAGCTTTTTTTTGACTAAATGTTTTTCTGCTACAGGTTATGCAGAAGTATCAAAAGTACTTTGCCTTGACAAACAATGAGGGAAACCTCTTACCATATTTCATTGTTGTTGCAAGAAGAAATATGGTTGTACTCAGGTTTGTTTACTCTCAAATTTTTTTTTTTCATTTTAGTTTTTTATTTATATTAACAAGTGATTTGAGTAATTTTTCTTTAATGTAGAGCTCGATATGAAGGCGCTAAATTCTTTTACGATTTGAGTAATTTTTTATTTATATTAATCGGTGATTTGAGTAATTTTTCTCCATTAGCTGTACACTAACATCTAGGTTCACTCTAACTCTTGTTTTACTGTAACATATGTTCCATGTATCATTTAATTTTTCAAGTTTTTAGGGTTTTATGCTAGGACTCGATGAGTTGGGGAGCTCCAACTCATCGAGTAGAGATTATTTATGAGGATGTGGGAATTAGATCCTATTCGACGAGTCGGAAGGCCTCGACTCGACGAGTAGGCGTTGTAAAGGAAAGCCCTAAATTTTAGGGTTTTCACCCTATATAATGGACTTAATCTGCATCATTTGGCCTCCCTTACTACTTCATCACCCACAGAAGAAACCCTAGCCGTTCTTTGTTGCTTCCTTGTACTTCTGAGACTAAGAAAGTGCTTTTCGCGCTTTTTTATTGAAGAAGTTTGAAGTTTGAGAGATTTGGAACGGGAAGGAGATTGTAGATCCAACATCTACAATGTTTGCACATCCATTTGAAGGTAACAAACTATTATCCTGATCATTCTAGCCTTAGATCCCTTTTTTCTTGGGTTCTGGGCTA